TTTTTGACCTAGATTCCAATTAAGAATATTGTCAAGTATTAACAGCACAAGTGATGGGTTAACTTCAGAATAGTAATTGGTGTTGGGGTAGGGTTTGCAAGAATATTTTATTTTAATTTTTGGATGAAATTTTTATCTATTATATATTAAACATTCTTGCTGCTGCAGCAGATTTGAGACCTTTTTGAGGGCTAAATTATTCTCCATTGTGAGAGATGTCCTTGGGTTAAGTTGAAAACCCTACCCAAAACTAAAGTGGGGAGAGGGAGAGCCTTAGCCTCTGCCAGCCCCAGCCACCTCCCCTGAAACTTGTGCCTTTTGAAAGCAGGTTTCTTTCACTGCTATGTTGGACACTACCGGTATCTGTCCCTGGGCCAACAGGGACCTCTGATGCCTTCATTATGACCTGTCTCCATCCCCATTCTGTGCTTTTTTTAAAGAATTTTCAGGACTTTTCTAATCTCATAACTATTCAAGTTTCACTTCCTAAATTTTAAGAACTTTAATTGAAAGTTTAAATTGAAGGTGCTGTTTGTAGACTTAATCACTCAATGAAAGCCTTGCTATCATGACAAATCTTTGAGTTTTCTCTTAAGATAATGATGCTGGTCATTGCAGCTTCAGCATCCCTTGTTTTTTGTTTTGTTTCTGTGAGAGTTTTTGTTTTGCTTTGTTTTTTAATGCTTGGCTTTACTCTGCTGATCTCAGAGTTCCCTGGCTTTTCTTCCCTCAGTCCCTTCTCACCCTTTGCTGTCCTGTGTAATGATTTGGTGAGAGACATTGTTGCTTTGTTGCCCATCCCACACACCCTCAGCACCACCCCTCCCCCATACCACATGTGAGTTTCAAGTTTTATTATTGCAATAAAAGTGCTTTATGCTGGCTTTTCTCAAAAAAAAATGCACATATGCATCATTTCCATCTTAGCAGCATTGGGAGAAAATTAATATTCCTTGACAATAGACTGGCTAAACCCACTCATGGTACACCCATTGATGAAATATTGTGTAACTTTTAAAATTAGTCCATTCTTTCTCATTTACAAGGACCTTCAAGATACATTCAGTGAAAAAAGAAATTATGGAAGAATAGTGAAAATGTTTGTATAAAAAGTATATATCATACATATTTATACTCATAAACATTACATGTTTATGGAATATCTTTGGAAGGATACACATAAAACTGCTCACAGAGGGTAGCTCCAATGAGGGAGCTAAGTGACATTAGGGGTCAGTAGGGAATCAATTTTTTATTGTGTCTTATCAATTTGTTTTACCATGTGCATGTTCTGCTTTAAAAAAAAATCTGTTTTATAATTTAAGTGTGAATAGTCCTTAAATAAAACCCAAGGATGTAAGGCCCAACCGGAAGGTCACAGAAGGTCAAAAGTGATAAAGCTAGGATTGGACCCTGGAGTCTTCTGATGCTCAAGTTCACACCTGCTCGCTCACCGGTGCCTTGCTCTTTCTCCTGCTATGTCCTCCATCACCGGGGCTCATTCACATCGCCAGAGCACTCCACTCAACTTGCCTGAAAGAGTCCCTAGGTTTAAGTAGTTGAAGAAATCCTGTAAATAGATTGTCACAGCATTTTTAGTATTTTACAAATAATTTTATTCAATAATACTTTTTTCAATTTTTTTATTCATTCTAATGAAAAATAAAGATATAATAGCAATGAAACAGTTGCAAAACAGGTTTAGGATGATTACAACAATTACTACATTGCATATTGTCTTCATAGTAGTTATTCAGAGAACAAGATGGAGATATGATATCTTGTCTAAACAATATTAGTACAAACTTCTACTCTCAATGAACTAAGAGAAAGTAGCTGTACATCTATTCTAACTCTCTTGTGTGTGTGTGTGTGTGTGTATGCGTGTTTTTTCTTTCTCTATTTTTTGTTCACAACAAAACGTTCCTTTATTTACACTTTTGTGAAGTTACTAACACTTGACACTAGGCTGCCTAGCAATTTATAGCTAATGATAACCAGACAGGATGTGAATTTCAGGAGTGAGGTAGCTTGTTTGCTTTAAGAACTGGGCCAAGTCCCACCTACACATATTTAATCAATTTCTTAGCTTCGTGGCTGCCAACATATCCCCCTCTTTTGCTGTGTTTTGTCAGAGATGGGAGTTCCACTGCAGTTAGAGAAACTGTATTTGGAGAAGTCTTTAAGGAACCTTTTTGTGCTTGATGCCAGTATAGACATTTTAGTTACTTGAATTCAGCAAAATAACCCAATATAGTCCAATAGTCCATAATAGTAGTGAGTTATCATCAGAACTAGTATTTGTCAGACATCATTGACTTGAGCCTTTTACAACTCAACATATTAATATGGCATTACTTTTTATACCTCATGATTATCCATTTCTGATGGATGGTTAAAACCAATTTAAAGAAAGACCTATATAACTAAAAATGTAACCTTTGTATCTGACAAGGTCAGTCAAATCCCCTCAGGGTTTACCCTGGAAACATGTACAGCATCTTGTAGATCTCTTGTCATTGTCAGCCATCTGGATGAGTCACGGCCATTGCTTGACCAGTTTGCTCTCTGGAGAGCCTGAGAGAATTTTTCTCTCTAGATGACTCTCCTTAGGCACACTCTACATCATCAATCACTTTCCTCTGTGGCCCCATAATCTCCTTGACCAGAAAATGTGGGACACCACTGAGTTACAAGATGTCACAGCACAGGTTCTCATATGTCCTGAGTCCTCACTGACTGATCTTGAAGGGCTAGGGCCAAAATATTGGCTATCCTTGTAGCCCCTCTATTTCTCTAATTTTTGGTCTGCAAATTTTAGTTATTAAACAGCCAGAAGAGAAGCTTAATGATATTATTATCTTATAACAGAGGCAGTTGAGCTATCTGTCTGAATATCAAACACCGTAGACATAACATGGAACTGCTATTTTCCAACAGCCATGAATAATCTAAAATTTAAATCCCTATAGAATGTTAAAAAAAAAAAAAAAAAAACAATTACAGACCCAGAGCGCAGGCCTGGCGAGTGAGTGAGACGACCTGAAGCCGCAGGATCCTGAATAGACCCAGAGCCCAGGCCCAGTGAGTTGGGCTGCAGGATCCTGAACAGACCCAGAGCGCAGGCCCTGCAAGTAAGACCACCGGGCAGCGGGATCCTGAACAGACCCAGAGCGCAGGCCCGGCGAGTGAGTGAGACGACCCAGGGCCAGGATCCTGAAAAGAGTGCAGGCCCAGCGAGTGAGTGAGACAACCCGGGGCCGTGGGATCCTGAATAGACCCAGAGCCCAGGCCCAGAGAGTGAGTTAGATGACCGAGGGCCACGGGATCCTGAACAGACCCAGAGCACAGGCCACGCGAGTGAGTGAGACGACCCAGGGCCTGGCAGGATCCTGAACAGACCCAGAGCGCAGGCCCGGTGAGTGAGTGAGACGACCCAAGCCACGGGACCCTGAACAGACCCACAGCGCAGGCCTGGCAAGTGAGTGAGACAACCCAGGCTGCAGGATCCTGAATAGACCCAGAGCGCAGGCCCAGCACAGAACCCTTCAGCAGAACTCCCTGCAAAGAGGCTAGAGGCAAGACCCACCCAGGTGATTCAGGAGCAGAACATTTTGCCAGAAAGACACAAAGGGTTCAAGTCTAACGCCTGCAGCAGAAAGAAGTGGAGCACAGCAGCCAGATCCAAGCAACACCCAACTGGAGGAATCTGAACTTC